ATGGCTAAAATCGCTCTATCTATCTATCTATCTAATTTGATATTTGAAATATATGATAACAGGTCGTTTTATTAAAACAGATATCTATCTAAATTGGATATTTGAAATAATAACAGATCGTTTTATTAAAACATATATATATATATATATATATATATATATATATATATATATATATATATATATATTTTATAATAATATATTTTCATTTTATTTGAAACTGTTTGAATATTAAATACATTTGCTTAATGTTCCCAAATGCTAATTGTCTGCAGTTTAATAGAGTTGAAACCACTATTTCCAAAGCTTATTTTATTTGTTAAAGAAAAAAAATTCAAGATATTTAAAGATAAAATCTTTGTTTTGTTTTTTATTCATTAAATCGAAAGAAATCTTAGTAGAAATGACACATTCTATCCTATGGTCTTATTGCCATGGTTACAAATAAAATCTGTTTTCATGATCGCTAAAAACTAAAAAAAAATATACTCATTAATTGTAAGGGAGGACTAAGTGAACTTTTGTCACACTAGGTTATCAGGAGAAACAATTACAATTTGGTGAACAATATTGAATTTGAACATGTTGGCCGCACTGGGGTGAAAATTCGCTGCTGTAATATTATTTCATTTAAAAAAAAAACTCATTTGGCATTCTCCTTTTTAATTAAAAAAAAAAAGCCAAGCAAGAGGGTAAGTTCGTTTGATGTCTGAATCTATTTAGACGTATTTTCTATTTGCAGTAATATTTTAGAGGTACACGCGTAACTTGCTAGAAAAAAAAATCTAGATACATTCTCATGTACAAACAAAGATTTAAAAACTGATATCTGCATATGCATTCGTACATATATGAATTTGAAAGCCCCATGAAGTCATTTTAATTCTTAATAAATGAATAATATATGAGTATCTTTTTCATACAGTGTTATGAAATATTAGGTAAACTTCTCGATAGCATAGTTAGTGACATTGTTATTGTAAATTAAAAAAAAAAGAAAACGCATAAATATGAAGTACAGAGAGTTTATAAAGTCTGTGTGCTAATTGATTATAGTTTTGTAATTATACCGGATAGAATTATTTTTTTTTTAATTATGAGAAAAAATAATTTTATTAAATTCATTGTTATATTTTACTACGGATGCTAGAGTCTTTCACTTACACACAAGTCTACCAGACTACCAGATTTTATCACTTCGATAAAGAATCACTTCGATAAAGAATCCCTGTGTGTTGCTTCTATAGTATAATGATTATAAAAACTTCTTTGGACAACAGCGAGAGATTTTAAATATTCGACCCCAAAACGGTATCTACCCTCTCTCCTAGTGAGGTCATGGGTCATTAACAATTTTGAATGGAATATGCAAACAAAAAAAAAAAAAAAAATTTTGACGGTGATAAAATAATAGTAGGCAAAAAGAGTAATAATCATTTTTCGAATAACAAGAAAAATGGATATATATTTTGCATAGATTAATTATATTATGGAGGTTAGCCTTACTTTGTCAGCCAATAAATAGGCTTGCTAAGTGAAAATGTTCAGGGCTATGAAATGAACGGACAATGATTTTTCTCTTAATTTTTTGCTTACTCAGAAAAGGATGCCGTAGGTAAAAATCCGTTCAGTCTTCTCCTCTGGTCAGATATAGTTACACGACAAACAGTCGAGTTAATGCTAAAAGAAAGGTACGTGGACATCACATACTACGTTTAAGTCCATACATGATTTCTTTCATGTTTTAGCTACACGTATAGATCTAAATATAATTTTCTCTTTCGTTTCTTTTGACGCTAATTTTCCTTTAAATATATATGAATATTCCCTTCACGTTTTAAGTTCATTCTTTGGAAAATGTTTAAATCGTTCATGTTTTAAATATTTATCTAATTTATCTAATTTATTTAAGTTCTACAATGTAGTAACCAATAGTGACCTCGTCATTACAAACTACAGCAATTATTCGCTACAGTATCATGAATAGAAAATCTTAAGTATATAGAATTGCACACAGATTTTATAAACTCCCAGTATTTCTTAATGAGATGAAAGAGTTATGAGAATCATAAGCTGCATATGAAATTATTTTTGACAATGTAATTTGATATTTCTTCGACCATCCTCAGGTGTGTTTGGTATCCGAAAATCTTGAAGTGCTTTGCAGTATGCTTGCAAACACCTTCATTAAAATATACTCTAAAACTGCATAATGAATTCACATGTCCACAGACAAAACTAAGTAGAATGAAACTAAATCTGAATTGAAGATTATTATCCGTTATAACTCACTCCCAGCTGTTATAATATAACCTCATGCTTAGATTACTAGTTGTGACGTCATTAAAATTATTTGCCCACTGACTCCAACGGTCTTTCGCTGATTTTGAGTCCTTTACATAAGATGTCTCGTCTGCTTCATTTGTGTCACCAGGAGTGTCTTATTTACGTCACAAGATTCCTCACTTTGGAGATTACGTAATGTTTTTTTTTTTTTATTTTCTTTCTTATAACGTACTGAACTTTGTATTACTTTCGTTTTGTGTCAACCTCTAGTTTTTCTGTCTCTTTCCTTTTTATAGTAATCATACGCTCAACGAATATGTAGGGGGTTGGTGCGTCAAAAATATCATAAAATACTTACATCGGCCTCTCTTTTTTGAGGGTTCAATGGGACCTACTAACATCAGTTATCTTTGCTTGCTTTGTTTTGATATTTAGTTTGAGTTTTGGGTTCATCCCCTCCCATCTCATTGTAAATCATGCATAGATTTTTATGTATGAATTTTTTATGAACATGAAATTATGTCATGGGTGCGTTTTTTTAGGTTCCCTGAGAGTATGCAGCATTATGGTATATGGTGGATTGATTGGTGACGGATGAGTTCTTGTGGTGAATGTGCAAATTGTAATGAGTGAATGGGTCGTGAATCGGATTAGCTAGGTATAAGATATCTAGTGAAGCCCACTCTCAATCGATTTCCCCTTTTCGGCATTGTGCCACTTGCATAAGTTCTTCCTTTCTTGTTGGTTTTTCATATGTAAACCTTTTCTTTAACTGCTTCCACTGCCATTTCCGTTCTCAGTTTTTCCTTTTACCATATATATATATATATATATATATATATATATATATATATATACCATTTTTCAAATTCGTGGCCTTATTACGTCTTCACACATTACTTTTCCATTTTTATATACTGTGAAATACACTTTTTCGCCAATTCTGAAAAAAAAAAATTGTTCTTTTCGTTTCTCTTCCTTATTCTTTTTTGACCTGGTAACAACTTGTCGAACACCGATTTAATTTTCCTTACGAACATCAATTCTGCCGGTGACATGCCTGACGGTGTATTGGGATTCGGCGTTATCCAGTACAATCTCAAGAAGTTTTGTAGTGCTTCTTCATTTACTTTTTCATTACTTGCTTTTATCAAAGTTCTCTTAAACGTACTCACCTACCGTTCAGCTTGACCGTTGGTGATACGGCGGGATAGTAATATATTCAATGGAAAACATTTTAAACAATTATGTAAATTCCTAAGAGCTGAATCGTGTACCGTTATCCGTGACTATGGAATCCGGAATGCCATATCTTGCACGCAGTTCGCGTAAAAATTCACAGTGACTGTGGAAGGTGTTTTTTTTTTTTTTTTTTTTGGCATTTAGAAATTTCAGGCCATTTAGTAAAGCTATCCACGACGACAAGATAATGTTATCAATTTATTGAACCGGCAAAATTTATGTATCTGTCTTTAAGCAAAGTTGAAATTTCGTGGTAGATGATTTTGTTGCCGGAGCACAACGTTTGCAGGCTTTCACTCTTGTTTCAATCTCTGGAGTCATTTTGTTCCAGTAGACATAGCTTCTCATAAGCGAGTTCATCCTTGAAATTTCCGGACATCCAGCATGAAATTCATTTAATATCCGCTTTTTTAATTTAGCTATTACTGCTGTTTATGCAAGCATCATTACTCGAAAGTAAGCGTTCAAGTCTGGATTGCGTTCTTGAAATCATCTATCTTTCTTACTTTCTTTTTTTTCTTTTCGAAATGAAAATGTCTTGTTCAGCTTTTACTTTTATTTCTTCCAGGGTAACTAATAGTTAGCGCACTACATTGCATAATATTTTTTATGTCTGTTTCGGTTTTTAATGCTGCAATAACAGTTTCCACAAACCGTTACGTTTGTTATCAATCTTGATAAATCATCAGCATGTCCACAATTTTTTGGACGGTTGGTATTGCATCATAAAGTCGTAAGATACACCAGCGTTGTAATTTAATCGCTTTATGCGTAGGAATTCCTTATTTCGAGTCATAAATTGATATTATCTGGGTTCCGTCTGTAAACGAAAGCACCTTCAGTGTATAAACTTGTGAATTTTTTTCACTGCAAACGCCTCATTTTACATCTGCTATAGTTTTTTTTACCAGTAGTAGCGAACGCAATGCATGTGCGACGGCTTTCATGATACCATTGTCATGTTTATATAGAATTACCGCTTCTATACCATAGTCACTAGCATCTGCAGCGAATACGATTTCTGCTTTTGGATCGTAGTACGCTAATAATAAATCTGACGTTAATATTTTCTAGATTTCTTCAAATGCCTTCTGACTATTATCAATTCTGTTCAACTTTTCTAAGCAAATTTTTCAGTGGAGCTCTCAAAATTCTGCATATAAGTATATAGATTTGATAATAGTTTGCTAGTCCTAGAAAATGCTTGTAACGTTTGTTGGAGGAGGCATATTCTTAATTGCACTTGCCCTCGACTGATCTGGTTGACGACCATTTTTGTCAATCCTTTTTCCTAGGTACATGATTTTAGGCAAAAGCAATTCACACTTTTCCTCACTGAGTTTCAACCAGTATTCTCGTATTTTCTAAAAAACAAACAAACTTTTTTCATATACTCGATATGTTGTTTCTTAGATATACTTTTAATTAATATATCATCCAGATAAGCGACTGCGAAATCACAATCTGCAGGCATAGTGTCCATGTCTTGTTGAAATATAACTGGAGCCAATTTTGTCCCAAAAGGAAGTCGGTTGAA